AGTTGAAAAGGGCTGCAAGCAAGTTAAAGGACAGACTGGAAATCAGAATGATCTTGACAAATTGAAGCTACAGTTTGAAAAAAAAATATGGTACTACTCAGCAGGGACAAGTGCATGATACAGCTCTGAAAACAGGACAGAAATCAAGGATGGAGCAAGTGGCATGGGAGAAGTATAATTAAAGGACTGGGTGTAAGAGGATGCATTTGCATTGGTGTTTCAGTTCTGCTCAGATGTAGAAGCAGATCATCACTTTCAAGCTTTGCTTTACACTACAGAGTTATCTTGGAACATAGGAAACTAGATTCCTTACCACAAAAGGTGTGCCAGAAGACATGCTTTGGATGGACCCAAATGCATTCAGCTGCTAGTGGGCACACAGGCTGTAGTGCTACACTAATGTTAGTCCAAGGTGGAAATCTGACACGTGGATGGTGTGCAAATCATGAGCTCAGCAGCAGGTGTTGCACTCCACATCTTGGTCCCTGTTGCTACACACCCCTTGTTAAAGCACTCATCACCTTAATGTGACTATTGAATTGTCTGTGCTGTGAGTGAGACAAATGTGACAGCAGGATTAGGTGTGGACTGTGAGGCAACTAAAGCAATTCTTTTCTATCTGCTATCTCTGTGAGAGTGCTGCAGTCAGCACCACACTTAATTAACAGTTGGAGCAGCTTAGCCTAGAAACATCAGAAGAAAGCCATGAGAAAGATCACCACTCTCAGAAACAAAAGTTGCGGGAAAGATGTGGGACTGTTTTATTTCTAGAAGAAAAGGGTAAAATGATAAGAGTTTTCATGTCCAACAAAGGCTGCTGCAAAGAGAAGGGAGATAAACTGACACCTTTGACAGCTGTGTCACTGTGGGGGAGGCAATATAGATTGCTCATGCAAAAGTTTGCCTAATAAAATGGCTGAGAAAGCAGTAAGCAAGGAGCTTCAGCATCCACAACACAGGAAGGTCTCACAAACAGGTGAGACAAGCATCTTGTCAGACCTGGTTTAAACTCAGTTCATTCTGCTGTAGAAAGGACCTCTTAAGACCACAACCAGAGTAATTTTTAATTTTTGTTCCTTTTTAAGAGGATCTTCCATCTGCATTTCATGTTACATTTTTCTGATATTTCAATTATCCATCCCATCTTCACTTTTCCACTTTTGGCATGGTGCTTCATCTGTGGTATTTCTTCTAGTCTATCTCTCCTTTTTCCCATGTGCAAAGCAATCTACCTGTCTTAATTTAATTTCCTACATAATCAAATATTTGCATATAACTACTTAACTAAACATTGTACCTTCCCCTTCCCCACTGTTCACTTCCCTTTAGTTCTTATGCAATGGGGAAGAATGACAGTGTTGCAAGTAAGTTCTTTTTTTCAGCATCTCCTTTTATCTTTACTGACCAAGAAAACTGAGATTGCCATTATTTTCCTTAAAAGAGGGTAATTCAGTGCAGAAGAATACAACAACAATGCAGAGGAGAAAGGCCACAGCTAATCATTGCAGAAGTTTACATTGATCATCTTTCAAATAACAAAAGGCTTTACTAGTGGTCAAATGTTATGGGGATAGATATAAGGAAAAATATTATGTATGCATACAAATCCCTATGGCTTTTTCTCAGATATATACAGCTACATATGTAAAAGCATAGATAATGATTACTGCATGTTTCTTTGCTGGTATTTCTGCTTTCCTCTGGTGCTTTGAGAGCACCCAGCATAACCCATGGGCATGGAGCAGAGCTCCACTGCCACTGGCTGCTGAGTGACACCCCAGTGTCAGCCTGAGCTCCCAGTTACCAAAAAAACCTTGTGTCCCTTGTGATATATTTCTGCTTTCCTTCTGTGATGCTGATACACCACAATAAAACATCTAATTCTACAGAAAATTCCTATCTTCTTAGATTACAGTTTCTGGTCTCATGAATCTGTAAGTCCAATTTCCTTCTTTTGGCTTTACAAAACAGTTGCCATGAGATGCTGCATTTTCTTCAAACACAGGCAGCAGTGCCAGGATGTGCCTTTACATTCTCTATATGCTCACATTCTACTGCCTGAATTAACCTCCAGACATTCACTGCCAAGCCTACGATGTTCTTTTGGTTCAGTTTGAGCCAGCTGACACAAAGACATGTCAAAAGCAAGAAAAAGAAGGATTCTATGGAGAAAATTAAGTTAATTACTATATTTTTAAGAAGAAAGCATGGTCCAGAAGACCTGGAATTTAAAAGTAGACTTACTTTTTCTTACATGTGATTTTCAGAAATAACAGATGCACTATCAGCTTTACAATATAACCCATTTGTTAAAAATTTAATTGGTGAGTAGTTTATTTCTAATATATAATTTGTGCTTTCATAACAGCTATGGGCATCTTTATTATATCTTACAATGAAAAGGTGAATTCTTCTCAATTTATTCAAGCAAATTGTCTCTCTTGTTAAAAATGGTACTAAGCTACATTAGACCACAAGTGTTAAAGAAAACATTAACTCTCTTCATCTTTCTATGCCTTTTATACTCCCTTTACATCTTGGATAGCACTTCAAAAAAACATATTTTGGAAAAAAGCCAATTTCTTCCATTATTTTTTCTTTTCATCTCCCTCTTCTTTTCCTCTCAAAAGAAGATGAGGTGTTTACAAGCTCAGAGTTTACTAGTCAAAGAAGTGTTCAGCATAAGTGAACAATGTAAGCACTTTATACACGTATTTCTTGCTGGTGGATCCATTTCTATGTTAAATATGTTTATAAGCCCAAACAAAACATAACTCTAATACCTACCAAATATAATACCTGATATCATCCATCTGAGTTTTGTTTTTTTCCATCCTTAGTTTGGAGAGGAGAATTAACTGCACAATTACCTCAACAATATCTTGGGGATTTCTTGAGGACAAATACAGATGCTTTCAATTGGATGACTGCATGTTACAAATAAATTTTACTTTTAATTTTAGATATGAGACTGCTTTGCTAAAAACTAAAATTAAGAGTTGAGTCTTATTAGGTACTGAGTTGGACCATTTATTAATATTACACACGCAACCCTTCTGTTCTTTTTGAAATAGACTACCCCCAGAAAGGAATTTCATAGCTTTAGTCACATTAGAGCCTCATGGGACATTAATAAAGCCCTCAGAGAATGATTTTCAACTATGTCAAAGGACCTTGCAATTTTATGCATGTATCAGAGCACACAAATATGCAAGACACATTCAGATGGGTCCCTTTGAGGATCTTTATTCATGCTCAGTGTACTACTTGTCAAAGTACATGGAGTCCAGCTGCAGAGAGCCAAGGTTAACCCCTTGTGCTGCACTGCAAAGCCTCCACACAGATCCTCCAGCTCACAGGTGCTCAGCCCTTCTCTGCCTGAATCCTCACCCTGCCTAATGACTGGAAGCCTTGGCACCTCTCTAAACCAAGGGCTCCCATAGCTCAGTGCATTAATGCAGCTGGGCAGGCACTGATACCAGCTGAGGGTTACATAGCTGCATACAGAAATAGTCCAAGACAAAATCGTCACATGTGATTCTCAGAATAAGAATTTATGTGTCTATCTTGCTAGCAAAGCTTGCACCCTACAGCATAGGCCACAGCTGTTTGCATCTTTGACTCACAGCTCTTATCCCTAAGTCATGGCAGGTAGGGGGAAGCTGGGGCTTAGATTTTTTTTCATTCACCAAACAAATGCAAGTTTTGGGTCAAATAATTTAAAATCATGTCAGATTTTTAAAAAGCAAAAACTGTTCTAGCTAGAGAAAAATACAAAAGGAAGTGAAAAACATCATCTCAGTGGTTTAAAAGGCAGTATGTATAAATTGCAGCATTCTGAATGGTGCTTCATAGAAGAACGTAAGCAAAGGGTCATAAACAACAGGAGCAAAGAAGTTGTTTTGGTTCTAGCTAAACATTTCATGCATTTCTTTTCGTTACAATTTCACCTGCAAACTATAAAGCCTGTTGGTCCCACAGCTCTAAGACAGTTAGCTATGAGGCAACAAAAGAATTGAACTGAGGCTCCTGCAAATTAAATTGATGCTCTAAGTACCAAACTGATGGACAGTCCAAGAGACAGGTCAGACAGGTCTGTTTGATGGACAGACCCTGAGACCAGGGTCTCCTGTGGGATGTCTAAGGTGCTCTGCTCTGAGTCCACCTTTTGTTGAGGGAGAACAGCATGTGAACCTACTGCAAGACCTATGGAACAGACCTTTGTGATTCTGTGTTTGTATCATGGGTCTCACTCTGCAAGAACAGACTGAACACACTGCCATTGCATGGATAATACATTAAAGACTTTGAAGTTGCCAGGTACAGTGATAAAGGAAGAGAGATAAAACCTCAAAGAGAATTTTACTATGTGTTATATATAAATATCAAAAATCTATTTTCAACATGAAATATTCAAGTCCACTGTCCAAATGCTTCTTGGAACATTCTTCACGAAATTGAAGAACAATAATAAAACAAACTGGCACTGACTACTTGCATTAAGGAAATAGTGAGAACTACAGATAGGTTTATAGCTACCTTTTATAATAACCCTTCATAAAGTAGTTTGAAAAAGACTTTCCAGGTTCTAATCTGATTAGAAACAGACTCTACATCAATGCTTTTCTATAGCATAAATAAGCAGCAATTGCTCTGAAAAGTGTTCTACCCTTGCTCTCTGTGCTCTTGTGTCTTTTCCTCCTATTTTCTCTTTGAGAGAGGAAAACTGAAACAGTTCAGATGGATGCTAAAATCCATAAAATGGATGGAAAAGAGAGTCCTGTAAGACATGGAGGACTGAATATTCAGAATGGTTTTTTTTAAATCTCTACATAAATCTTCTGAGAGTGTGTATTCAGAAGAGCGTGCAGGAATCATATTAAAGGACAAGAAGAGGCTAAGATGTCTATTTTGTACACCCAGAGTGATACAAACCTTTTATTTTCAAGAGATTGATGTTTTGCTTAGTTTGTTCCAATTACTTGTTTTTTCTTTAACAGATGAATAAAAATTCTTCCAACGTGATGGCTTTGGCTCCTAACACTTCTAACAAAAGAGAGACAGTCTGCATATTTGGAACTGGAGATTTTGGACGAGCTCTGGGGCATAAGATGATTCAATCTGGCTACCCAGTGGTGTATGGGAGCCGAAGCACCCAGATATCCAACCTGATTCCCAAGGATGCAGAGGTGCTGGGCCACGCAGAGGCAGCACAGAAAGCTGCCATTATCATCATAGCAATCCCGAGGCAGCATTACAACTTTCTTACACCACTAGCAGAGGTTCTCCGTGGGAAAGTCTTGGTGGACATAAGCAACAACTTGAAATTAAACCAGTATCCCGAGTCGAACGCAGAGCACCTGGCTCAGCTGCTGCCTGGCAGTAAGGTTGTGAAAGCCTTCAACACCGTGTCAGCCTGGGCCTTGCAGTCGGGCACGCTGGATGCAAGCCGGCAGGTAAGGCTGAGCACGGGGATTTCCTCTGTCACAGAGTCACACATCACATGGCTTCTTCTCAGCTACACACAACACACCTGGGACGGCAGAATTAGGCAGAGTTGAGATGGTATTTTCATGATTTTCTCTCATTTCAAACGAAATGTGAGCTAAAATTTACCTAGGATTTTTAATATGGCATGACAGGGATCATAAATAGCTTGCCTCTGAACTCAGAAAGGTGTTTAGAAATACTAGAGAAGAGAAAAAAGATAGCAGAGCTACAAGTGAGACAAATCAGGAGTGTTACATCATTTGGTCGTCAGAGTTGTAAAGTTAAACAGAAATGAGATAAGAGGAATTTTCGCAGCAAGAATAAAATGAAGAAAGTAAAACAAGAGAGGCAAGGGATGTGATAGGTCAATGAGTATTGGCAAAAGAAGTATGCTGAAAGGTGAATAAATTACTAAAGGTTTTTAAATCATCGCCATCTAAATTTAACACAACAGCAGTGTGTGCAAACTGCTTTAACCAGCTCCTCAACCACAGGCCAGCAGGCACAGAGCTGGCCAAAGGAAGCAACACAGCAGATTACTTGAAGGCAAATCCTTTATTATGTTTATTATGCTATGTTTTCTGTCGCTTCAAAGGAGAGTGCTCTTGTCCAACACATGAAATCACCCAGCTACTCAAACCATTGCTAACTGTGCTCCCCACTGCCAGATAAATGGTTTTGTCTAGAGACCAAGGCCTTCCAAGCCTAGGCTCTATAAACCTTCACCATCTCAACAAGGGCAGAAATGCCCCCTTTGTCCCAGTTCCAAAAGGACTATTGTCTTACATACAGAAATGATGATTTCTTCACTATTTTACTAGACCAGGAAAGACCTATTATTTACTTTTGTGACAGGCAAATTATGTTTTAAAGATCTCTGTCCTCACTTCCCTGGAGTATTTATGGACCACTACAGCAGCAAATGAAAATTTTGCTCTTACTTACTGCTATTGAAAATTTTGCTTCAATTTAGCCCTAAAAAATCTTGTGCTTACAAACTACTTGCAGATCCTCAGAAAAATATGTCAAGTCTTCTACTCAAAGACATATACTAAGCCTGTTATACATTGTTATTTCCAGATATAAAATTTTGCCAGTTGAAACAATCTCCTTCCCTAAAGAATCATGTGCAAAGTTCTTTGTCTTGTTTGCCAAAAGTATCTATAGGGTACTTTTTTGCCTGTATTAATTAAGATCAGGAGTAAGCCAAGTAAGCAAAGAAGCAGGCTAGGAAGCTTGTGCTTACTGTCCATATATATCCAGGCAGGATGGCAGTAGAGAAAATCATAAATCTCTGTAAAAAATAAACTTCTGTTTGTTTTTGTCTGCAGGTATTTGTCTGTGGAGATGATGTGGAAGCTAAACAAATGGTCATGAATATTGTTCGTGCACTTGGTCTCACTCCACTAGATAAGGGATCCCTCTTGGCTGCTCAGGAAATAGAAAATTACCCTCTGCAACTCTTTCCAATGTGGAAGTTTCCCATCTTTTTGTCCCTTGGCTTAACTGCATTCTTCTTCTTCTACTGTGTTCTTCTCGATATAATTTACACTTATATTTATGAAAAGAAGGACTTTTCATTTTTTATTGCAATTACCATTCCAAATCGGGTCTGCCCTGTAATGGCGCTCATCCTTCTGGCCTTGGTGTATCTGCCTGGTATTTTTGCTGCAATTATTCAGTTATACAGAGGTACCAAGTACCGCCGTTTTCCAGACTGGCTGGACAAATGGATGCTGTGTAGGAAACAGCTTGGCCTAATAGCCTTGGGGTTTGCTTCCCTTCATGTTTTGTTCACTCTTGTTATTCCACTGCGCGCCTTCGTACGTTGGAGAACCAGCACAAGAATCATCTCCCAGGTAAGTTTTGTTCCCTGCTCTAAGTCTTCCTTTCTTCTGGCCCTGTTAAAATAATACCATCTACCTGGAGCTTCAGAAATCCATTTGGACATGTTCTTTAAAATCCAGTGTTCTTTAAAATAGAGTAATATTCCTAGTTTTTGTATCTTTTAGACATTGATATATCTATGTTTTGTTGATACTATGTTGAGCTGAGGGGATTTCTGGCCTCAGTCTTCCTCCTAGATAGTTGACATATTCATAAAATAATCAGGGAAAATGTAAACACTTTTTCTTCATATACCTTCAAGAATATAATATACTATGACTTTCTGATCTTACTTAACAAAGGATCACATATCTCTCTTAAACAGGTCCACAGAACAGTAAAATATGTACCTCAATTACAGTTACATGGAACTTATATGTAATATAATTCCTCTCCTGATTTTTGAGCAGGCATTCAAAGTAAATCTCTGATGATCACTAAGTTAATGTATAACATTTATATCCTACTTACCTGTAAGGAAATTTTTTCTCCTTATTGGTGCTAAAACTGCTATCACTAAAACACACCTGGTCTTCTTTTCTTCAGGTAATGAACAATAAAACAGAACCACTCGACCACACTAATGCCTGGCTTAGTGACTCTTATTTGGCTTTGGGAATTCTAGGATTTTTTTTATTTGTTCTTCTGGGAATAACTTCCTTGCCTTCAGTCAGTAACAATGTCAACTGGCGAGAATTTCGATTTGTTCAGGTAAGATAATCTCTAAAAAAACCATCCCCTAAAAAACCTCCTTCCCTTATCAACAGTGGCCATGGGCAGGTTCACTAGAGACGTATGGCTTTTCTCCATTATTATCTTCAAATGTGATCTGTGCCTTATCCACCATCACACAGTGAAAAAAAAAAACATCTACATGGCCAAACAGCTTTAAAAACCCACAATTGCTCTGATGGCTGCTTATGGTACAACTGAGATTATTGCATTAGCAAGAGAAAGATGGGAAGATGTGAGCTCCTAAATGAAAAAACAGAAAGCTGGCTTCGACATCAAATTCCACAATTGTACAAAGTCACAAAATAATTTAGCCATTTTACTGGGTTAATTTTTTTGGTTCACAAAATAATTCAGTTAAAATGGATCTGAAAATTACTTTATAACTCAAATCTTCTCAATGCCAAGCATCTAAAGAGAATCTGCAATTTCTGCAGACTGTAAAAACTGCTGTGACTATAAACAGGCTGCCCTTGGTAACACATAATCTCAGCTCTCCATTTGGAGGAAGTTTAGTGCAAGCTGCCGTGCCTCTGCAGGAGCTGGGCTGGAGGGGAGGGGAGGCAAGAGAAGGGGAAATTACTAACAATGAATGTTTTATCAAGGCAAAAAACTTGCACAGTATGATACTTCTGGATGGATTAGCACTAGAGCATAAAAAAAAAAATCTTGAATTTCTCTACTGAATGTCAGCATTTTCTCAGCTTTTTCACAGATATGACAGCCACTAGGCAGTACATGTGAGCTAGGAAAAATTGTAAATGCTATCGATGGTGAAAAACCAAACTATTTAATCTATAACCATTTTAATTGGTTTTTTTAAAAAATAATAAGAGCCTTTATGCTATATAAAATAGTTTCATTTCACCAGTCCCCAAGTTGGCACATGCCACAAATCTTACTGTGTCCTTAAATTTGCATTTGTTCTGGTTTATTTTACAGTTTTAACCTACATTTCTTTCCTTCTTTTTTTCCTTCTTTCTCCTTTAGTCCAAACTGGGATATCTGACACTGATTTTGTCCACTGCACACACGCTGGTTTATGGTGGAAAATGGTTCCTGAGCCCATCAACATACAAGTGGTATCTTCCAAACATCTATATCCTCTCCCTCATTGTTCCTTGCGCTGTACTGGTTGTCAAATTTCTGCTGATATTTCCTTGTGTAGACAAACCTCTCACACAAATTCGGCAGGGCTGGGAGAGAAATCCCAAATACTCAGAACAGTCAAATTACATTATCAACAAGTCTGCTGTATAATTAGCCTACACTGTATTATTAAAAAAAATATTATGAGGGCATATCAAAATGAAGTCTTAAGCCTAATCTATCTGGAAAGGGAGAGAAAATGGGAAAAGTTGGCCAGGCTCTATAAAACAAAGCCACCCCAATGACAAGCTTTAAATACAAATGAAGCCAATGAGTTTCTGCACCTCAGGCATGCTTTCACACAGGTGCAGACCTTATCTTTTGCTTTGTGTATTTCCCCTTGCCTATTTACGCTCCCTCCTAAGAAGGGTATGTGAGAAGTAGGTGATGTTCCATGTCCCTCTTCTGCTGTCTTGAGCTCCTCCAGAGCTGAGCAGAACCACAGAAACCTTTGGTGTTAGACAGTGTTTGCTCCTCTTTCCTATCCTGCCATCAAGACTCAACTCTACATGCACCTACACATATCCACAGAGATCCATATGCACACCTGCATGAGTTTCCACACATTTCTCTGTTTCTAACCTCAGAATCCACCAGCACCAACAGAACAGTTGCATGATGGATACTAGCTAAGGAACAGAGCTTCACCTCCCAGAATTGTTTATCCTCCATTAATATCCAATCCAAGGAGAGAGCTATGTTGACTCCTTAGAGATAGTTGAATAAGATTTGTTTGGTTTGTGAACAGGAACCTTGATGTTCAAAGTGCATGGGTCAAGGACTGCTGAATTTTTGCTTGTACTGCTCTACCAGAAATTCAGGGGCAAGGGGAAGGAGTAGAGATCAAAATAACAGAGATGTGAGAAATGCTTACAAGCCTCAACTTTTAAAGTATAGGCAAAAAATTATCTGTGATTTTTTTGTGTAAGCAGTGAGTTGTAAGAGAAGAAACTGAAGGAAAATCCTTTTATTTGAGGGAATATATGTCATAGTCATATCTCATGACTGTTGATTTTTCAAAAAATAAATAATTGGATGTGATATGACAGAAATTCTATGAAAATGCGCATGTTTTAAAGACAATAAAGTTTTTTTTTTTACACTGTTGACCTCTGTTATCATTTTGGGAACCTGTTCTGCTAAGATGCAGCTGCTGGTGTGCTCAGTTGCACAAAGGTGTCGGGAAGCCTTGGAAAAAATAATAAAATGGGATCCCATCTTCAGCCAGCTGCCTGGACTTGTCTTCCCCCATCTTTGCTTCTTGGATGAGCACATAAGCAGATCTTTGCTTAGTCATCCAAGTAGGCTGAGGATGTTGGGAAAACACAGGTTCCAGCTGGGATGGTGACTTCCTGTTAAATTGCAAACAGAAGATCCAACAGTCTCCTTTGGACAGGAGAATATTAAAAAAAAAAAAAAAAAAAAAGCTGATTTTATAGGAAGAAAATTGCTTACTATTTTTTTACATCTCTGCTGTTCTCCCTGTCCATACAAAGAACACTCACATACATTAAAATATAAGCATGGTAGCTGTGCTTTCAAACTAGCATTATCAAGCAGCTTTAAAAGATAAAATAAAATAAAACTCAAAATAACTATCTGAACAACAGTTATAAAAACATTTCACAACAATGGAGTCTTTTTTTAATTCTGGGCAATATACCCTCTCTTCATGTCAGCCTCTGTCCCATAATCTGTTCTTTATGCCCAAAATAATGGTAGAGTAGTCTAGGATATCAGCAACTGACAGAGCCAGATTTCTTAGAAATAATTCTGGCACCAAGTACTCTTGCTAACCAGCACACTGGTGCATATGTTATACTTGTCCTAAACTGATACGCATTTGTTGATGTAAGTCTTTACAGAAGTTTTTCTTGACCTGTGCTGTGATGGAGTAGTACTACACTTCAAGTTTCCTTCAATGATTTTCCACAGAATCATTTATTGCAGAAGGGATCAGGTATAGGCTCAACAGGCCCAAGTGACAACACTGTTGTGAGGATGTCTGTAACACCTCCTTACAGCTCCCTGGAGGAGAGATGAAAGCAGCAGAAAGAAGAGAAAAATAAGACAGAGAGAGAGAGGTTGTGTTTGCATGGTATAAAGCGACAGACAAGAGCAGAAAATAAGTAGCAGCAGTCTGAATGAATACCCTCTAGATTTGCCATTTTGGTGGTAGATTCTTGCCTCACTGATAGGTACTCCAGATTTGTGTTATTACCAGTAGCAAGAGTTCCAAAGCACTGACACATATTGGGTTTTGATATTACTCTATAAGGGATTTATTCTCAGGGTTTCTGCCTCTCTCCCAGTGCAGATTTAAAACCTGCCCTACCTCTCTTACAGCTGAGCCTGTGGGCTGAAGTTTAAACTCCAACAGCCATGGCAAGTCCCATTTAAAAGCTGTGCTTTATGAAATACAAACAGTGCAAGTGCTCTGCATCTTTTCCTCCAAGCAAATAGGCTCCTTTGTGTTTTCTGAGGGCCTTGTGTTTTCTGAGGGCCAAGTCTCCTTCACCCTCACCAGGAACTAGCACAAAGTTACCACGGCTGGACTGAATGATGCTTTGTACACTCACTCACAGCTAATCCATCGTCTCAAACACCCACAGGACTGTCCTTCTGCAGGCAAGACAAAGGAACTTCTTTGGGGATGGATATCACGTTGTTTTGTCAAAGGAAAACAGACCAAGATGTACTGGAAATGCAAAGCAGCTGGGTACTATTTGCAATTTGCTTTTTACTCCAAGGATAAAGTGCCAATATTGGCTGTGTACAAAGCGAGGAGGTGATGCTGTTTGCTGTGAGGGGGTGTGCAGAAGCTCTCAGGGGCAGATCCAGAGCCATTGCATCTGAACTCGTCAGCAGGTGCTTTGTCGACTTCAGTAGTTAATAGGTCGAATCTTCATCACTCTCATCTGAGTGAGGGATTTCATGTCCTCTTCATATCCTCTTGTACTTGGGCAGCTGAGGAGGATTTGATTTACAAATTTACAAATTTACTTCCTGAACATGGTAGAGAAAGCAAATTCAGTTATCATACTGGTAGTGAACGTATTTGGTGGTAGTATTTTGAAAACAATAGCCAGTGCCAGGAAACTTGTTGGTAGCTTCTACACATTACTCATGGCTGATTCTATATTTTTTTTCCTTTTATGTACTGACAAAGCCTGGTGAAAAAGGAGATCAGAAGGATCATGAAAGGAATTTTAGAAAGGGTGTTTTCCATATGGTTCCCAGAAGCCAAGAAAAGCTTTTATGTGCATACGTACATAATGGCATTCTAAGAACTCCTGCAGGAATAAAGCATTGATTCTTAGATCTCCTTCTAAATCAGAGTCAACACTTAGAAAATACAAATTACAGCATTTAAAATAAATGGTCACATGGATTTTGTTATTGTAACAACTGAGTTTGTGATTCATTATATAAGAAAGTTTTATTCTGATAGAGTACAGAATAGTGGGATAGACAGCATAGCGTGGGTGGACCTCTACATCCGTCATGATAGGGTAAATTTAACTCTTTGCCTTTTTGTTATACCTGGGGAATATCTACTTTAACAAAAAAAAAATGTACTTATTAGTGAAAATAAAGTATTTTAATTAATTAGAGTTCCTTGAAACAGAATGGGATTTCAGGAACACACTGGCCCCAGGGGATGCAGCTGACACCACAGATATTGCTGGATCCTGAACTGTGGAGATCTGAGCAATTTCCTTCAGTTCCACCACAATGTGCATTGAAGTCCTGAGATCTTCAACTTATTTTTGCTTTCCAGCACAGCCTTCTGTCAGGCTTCTCTTCTTTATCTAGCAGTCACCTTTCACTCCCAGACATGACACTTTGTGACCCACTCTAAAAAAGCCCCTTTATTCCTGTATGTCAGGCTTTTGCAGCTCCACTCTTGTTAACTCCTACCAGACACAAGATTTTGCAAGAGTGTCTTTTGTTTCAAATGTTGTTGAGCATTTGAAATGCTGTTAGATTCACTGGCCCAGATCAAGAACTAGTGAATATTGTGAACACTCACAGTAGCTATGTAACCCAACTTTGCCTGTTTGTCCTTATTATGATTAGCATATTTAATAAGCATTCAGTGTACCAATATTAGCCTAAATATGCTTTCTTTTCCACAATATGGAAGCTTTTCTCTCCTACCAAGACTATTTTTTTCATCTGCATTATAAAGATTTTTGTTGTGGATGTCCATTTTTATCAGTAATTCCTGACTAACACAAATTATTTTCTCCCTCAAGGAAGTTGACATTCCTCAAGATAAAATTTTTATCTATCACCCTGGAAAACTGCACATCTCTTATTCTTGCACATTGCCTTAATGTTTTTGATTCTGGGAATCCAGAACTGACATAAATACTAGTTTTGACAAGACTAGACCCCTACATATTCCTTTCTTATAAGCAGCCTCTGTGCTACAAGGAAAGTACACTACAGAAGCTTTACAGGACATGCACAGGCCTCAGAGAACTGTGTGAAACTTAGCTAACATCTCCAAATGCTGCAAGCCAGGAGTGGTAAATTTTGTTCATATGTCTTCACAAACATCCTCTATTCCTGTCTCTCTTTTTGCTTCTACATCCAGATTTGCTTGTTATTTGAGATACAATCCCTTCACTGTGCTTCTCTTCACTTGTGCTCAGATTTAAACTAGGAATAGCTTAACTGCAGTCAGTAGACTCAAGATAGTAGCAACAGTAGTAGTTATAGTGCAGAGGCCTTTCCTAGTTTCCTAGCTAGCTAATTAAAATTTTGCTTCAGTTTTATGGGAGATGGAAAAATGTAGTCTTTATAAACCTCTCTTTAAGACCATTCAGAAAATAGATAAATGAAAGTGGAAAAAAAAATGTTATTGTAATATGCTAACCATTACATGACAGAGGTGTTCAATTACAGGTAGTTGAACACCACTAGACCAAACTAGAATATCCCAAAAAAGGCAGCTTTCGGGCACATTATCTATGACAGAGTGTTGGCATCAAAAGAGGGAGGTATTTTTAAAGAAACATACTGGAGAAAAGTATATGGAACAAAAATAAAAACCTATTAGAATGAATGAGAGAGAGAGAAGGAAAGAAGGACAAGGAAGATAA